GTTTATGCGGATCGGTTTCCCAATCGAGTGCAACCAACCCCTCGTGCGTTTGTTAATATAGTACAACGGGCTCGTGAATCAGGTGACTTAAGACCTCACAGGGGACCTCACGATCAAATACAGGTCCGCACTGAAATACTTGTCGGGAGGATACTTTATAAAACAAGGTAAAAATTTTTTTTAAGTTTTTTTTATTTTTACACACAATCATTATCTGAAAATTAATGACTCAACTTCAAAGTCACCCAGTATTATTGACCCCTGGGAATCATAATTTGCACCGAGGACCCGATTTTGACCAGTCAGAAGGTTTTTGGAGTAATGAAAGTAACGAACCGAGTCGGTTGCTTCTAAAGTATTTCTCAAACTTGAAAAAAGTTATACGATTTATGTACGATGGGCCCATAATGCCTATATTGAATCAAGGGACCTCGGTTGGCCGCGTGGGTCAGAGTGTCGTGCTACTGATCAGCCGGCCGGCCGGGCCGCGAGTTCGAATCTCGCCTTCGCCATGGATGTTGTGTGTTTGTTTTAGGCAGCAGCGGTGGCCGCAGTAGTAGACTCTTCGGTCTCCTGATCAGTCGCCGTGCGCTGTGCGGGATCGATTCCCGTCCCAGGAGAAATGTTTCTCTTGGCCATGGATGCTGTGATTGTCCGTAGGTGGTAGATGGTCTCTGTCTGTCGAACGCGGAGGTACCACCCGGCAGTTCTCGTAGGCGGAGCCAGAATGTGTGCATGTTGCAAGCACACGTGTTCCCTCGCCAGAGTCCGTGTGGCGTCCCCTCTTTCCCATGTATCCCCCATAGCCCCACGGTGTCCAATGGGTGCTTAGGCCTTAGGCCTTCGTGGTAGTTGGAGTATAAAAAAAAAAAGGAATACTTCACAAATCACCTGATTTAGCTGTAAGACTATATGTTATTTGGTCCAAGGCACAAAAATTGCAACTAGGCCTCAAACTCGACCAACTAAAAAGAAGGACTCGACCTAGTTGCAAATTGCAGCAGTTGGAAACAAGGACAACATCTACTTTGTAAATAATACAACCAAATTAAAACCATACTTAAATGAAAAAATTGAATAAAGGATATATAGATTTGTAATTAGATGAAGATGATTGAACCATTCTTTTATACTAAGTGACATATAAATCCGAACACCCAGTTTAAATGGTTTTATTTTAATAAAAGTTGGTGAATGTATTTATCTTACTGTAAATAACAAGTGAAAAAATTTTCAGCCTCATCAGTTGGACATTCCAGTTTTTATACTGCTTTTTTTTAATTCACTAACGCTCTAAAAATGAATATTTCAGCCGCAGTAAAGAATCAACGTTGGCGGATTTTGGTTCTTGACATCCTTTACGATCGGTTACGATACCTAGAGTACGGAGACCTGTACGATTTCGTCAACTTAGTGAGTTTGATAGGGGCCGTATAGTGGGACTTCTGGAAGCTGGACTTTCTTTTCGGGCAATTGCAGTTAGAGTGCAAAGAAGTGTAGACACTGTGGTTAGGTGTTGTCAGGCATGGCATCGAGCAGGCCGTACGCAAAGAGCAAAGGGCACTGGACGCCGCCGTAGAACAACAGACCGTGAAGATCGCCGCCTAAGATTATTGGCCTTAAGGGACCGTTTCTCCACTACCAGGTCCATTGCAAATGAATGGTTTGCAGAACACGGTCGAAGTGTTTACCGACGAATGAGAAGTTTTGGCTTGTTTTCATACCGGCCACACTGGGTCTTCCCTTTAACTCGAGAACACCGACGTAATCGCCTTGAGTGGTGCAGACAACGGTCACTCTGGGATCAGGAATGGAACAGTATTGTCTTTAGTGACGAGTCTCGATTTTGTTTAGGCATGCACGATGGTCGTGCCAGGGTTAGAAGGCGACGTGGTGAAAGGAGGAATCCACAGTTTTTTGTTGAAAGATATGTTCATCACACTGTTGGAGTTATGGTTTGGGGTGCTATAGCTTATGGTTCCAGGTCACCTTTAATCCTCATCAGAGGTAACATGAACGCGCAGCGTTATATCCACGAAGTTCTAGAACCCCATCTTTTACCCTATCTTGACACCCTGGCAGATCCAACTTTCCAACAAGATAATGCCCCACCACATGTTGCAAGAGTCACAATAGACTTCTTTCAACATAATGATGTCACATTGCTACCATGGCCACCAAGATCTCCCGACTTATCCCCAATTGAGCACGTGTGGGATATGATGGGTAGGAGATTGCTCAATTTGCAACGTCCTCCTCAGACTCTAGAAGCACTTCGAGAGGAGTTGGTGGTTGCCTGGAATGAGATACCACAGGAGGACATTGACCACCTGATCAGAAGCATGCCTAGGCGCGTTGGAGAATGCGTAGCACATCAGGGTGCATCCACACATTATTAAAGGTCAAAGGGCTTTAAAGCAGGACAATCATTTTGAAATTTTTATCATTTACTTATTATGCTTCATTAAGTACTTATACAAAATTTTATTAAAATAAAACCATTTAAACTGGGTGTTCGGATTTATATGTTACTTAGTATATTAACTTCCATTGCAAACATATTTCTTTCTTTCTCTTGAGAATAACTAGCAAAATACAAGATAATTCTGGCGGCGACACCTGTTTCTAAGTTAGTAAACATCAGTAAAATGTAAGGATGGTTTTGTATATCAGTATTATATATTTGTAAATTAGATCGAAATTCTACTCAAATTCTGTGAAGACAAATTTAATGACAATGCTTATTCTTTAACAAACATCCGGTTGATATTCGGTTCACTTGACTACCCTGCGAAATAATCCTTCTTTCTAAATGTTGATATGCTAGTTTTTCCGGATTATCGCTATTATATGTAGGCATTAAATCCATTAGTTCATATTTGTCAAATTGCGCACATATGGTATATAAGTTTAAACAACTATGTTAAGTCATCCAAACTTCCAAACCGCGTAGAGATACCCCAAGGGGCACTAGCCTCTACTTTGTTTTTATTCATGAATAACCATTTAGCCTCCATAGGCGGGGCACGTATTCTTCCAGTTTTATGCGCAGAAGACTGTTCATACTTAATTCAACTACGAGTCAAGCCCATAGTGAAATGAAAATTATTTGACTTTTCATACTACGAAAACTAAATTAATACTATTTTTACCTAAACATGTTAGCCGCAGTCAAAGTAAACTAATAAGGTTTTATGCAGAAGACTGCGAATTTATATTCTTGCGTCAGCATTGCATTTAGAAATGAACCCATAGTAAAGTGTATTAGGGGATAAATAGTGGGAAGTTCACTTTTTGATTTAAGAAAACAATACGAACTTAATGAAAAGAAAATATCTATTACTATTAACATATTCGCAAATTCGGGTTTTATTTCTTGAATATCATTCCGTCCAAATGTTTGCTTTCACTTTCCTTTAAAGCATGGACTGATAGGATAAAAACCCATGTTGCTCTTCATTATGCTATGCAGTGTTGATCTAGGTATTCCCAAAGCAGCGGAATACTTCTGTACAGAACGCCGAGGATTTGCAATGACCGAATCACATACTCGACGCATATTTCGGTTGATATACGTGTGGGGGCAGAAAACGGGTTGATTAAAAGTAGAGCCTGTCTCACGGAACCTCGTAATCCACATTTTTAATAGGTTCTTACTTATGGCATTTCTTGGTCGGCGAATGTTGTATCATGTACAAAACTTCAGAAGAGCAGCTGCGTATGAATCACCGCTCTTAAAGTAAGCCTCGATAGCAAAAGCACGTTGCGCTCCGGTCCAACGTTCCGTTGCGACTATTTAACCCGCACGCCGGACGCGTCGATCAAGGCCTATCCCCACTCCCTCGCGCATACGGTTGCCGCGTAATTCAAATTTGAAGTGTGAACCTTCCCACTGGACACCGTGTGTTATCCTGACGCAGATAGTGTGCAGACCATAGCGGAAAACGTACAAACTGCAACTAAATGGATGATAATTGTTAAAAATATATCCTTTCTTTAAATTATCTCCCAGGTAAGTAGTGACACAGGTATGACTGCTGTCGTATCATTCCGAATATTGTATCTTCCCTTCCTTTTGATTGGCAGAATTTGCGCACAAATGAAAAAGTAGGTATTTGTAGAGAGACCAGACGATATACCGGGAAATTCAAATATCACTGACGAGGTAATGTGTACGCACCTGCGTCCGTGCCCTCGTCACTCGGGTTGCTAGGCAACGGAGTGCTTCTATCTCTTTCTAACATACGTATTGTATGCTTCTGACGCTTTTCTCTCGTACGTATTACGACGTCAGTGGTATACGGATTTCTCTGTATGAAATATCTCTTGATTAATAGGAGAATCATACACACATTACACAAATCGTAGAATTGTTCTTTAGTTTGAGAGATATTTTAGAAGCAATCGACTATATTCATTAGATCGATTACTTCAAAAACGCCTTTAACATGGTAGATTTTGCGTCACAGGTGCACATTTTATACTTCGTATAGTGAAATCGGGTCTAAGAGTTAAATTTATAAACGTGACTTGAGGATTGAGTGCGTTTCAGGAAAGATATTTTCTTGGATTATAAGCTAACAATAATGCTTTCTTGGAAAACTGTCAAGCGATGATTAAAAAGCATCCCACAAACCGGCGCGAAATATTCGGTTTGGCTGCGAAAATTTCGCGGCGATGAATTCGCGATAAGATTAAAACGCGGCGGTTTACGGACAGGCTCAGACTTGTGCGAAGCGAATGCGATTGTTCGCCTTTGACCGCGTTTTTGACGCCGTTCTTCAAAAATTCGCAATGGCAAAAACGGAATTATTGATAGAAATAGTGAAAAAGTATCCTTGTTTGTATGATTTGTCGAACGATGAATACAGGAATGTGAGAAAGAAAGACAAGATTTGGATGGAAATAGGAAAAGAATTAAATACAAATGGTATGTACCTAATATTTTTTATTAACTTGTTAAATAATTTACAGTCTACACAAATGTGAAAACGAACATTCTATATATTGGGCATAGGCATATCAGAATTAAAATAATTTACGAATTTGTCACGAGTAGAAAATGCTAGCCTTGCTGCCCGCCGAGGATTATTTGCTATATCAGTAAAAGCTCCAAGCACGGGTTCTGGGGGATCAAAGAATTGAAAATATTTGTCATCGCCACTTTTACTTCGTAAAAAATTGCGTAAAACACATGCCGTACATACAATTATAATAGTAGTACCTACTTTAGTTTCTAATGGCCTGTAAGATATTCGCCATTTTTGAGACAAAATACCAAACGCATTTTCCACGACCCTTCTAGCTCGACAAAGTCTTACATTGTATTTCTCTTTTCTGACGTCTGTTAAAGTCTGCTTATTATAATTAAATGGTCTCATAAGGTATGGTTTTAAAGCAAATGCTTCATCACCAATTAAGACGTACGAGCAGATTTCATTTTGCCCAGGGAGAAATCTAGGTGCAGGGACACTCATTAAATTTTGTTCAAATCGTTTTCCCATGTTTGAGGTTTCGAAAATACCCCCATCACTATTTTTTCCGAAACCACCAATATCAACACATATAAATTTATAGTCCGGGCCAACAATGGCCATAAGTACTATTGAATATTTATGTAAATAGCACCAGTAATTGGAGCCACTGTTGTTAGGTCTCTTGATTGTTACATGTTTACCGTCCACGCTGCCAATGCAATTGGGAAATCCCCATCCATTTTCAAATTCTTCAGCACATTTTTTCCATATATTCTCTGTTGGTTCTGGTAAATATATATGCTCCATATGTCTGCATATCGCTTCACAGACTTCGGTTACGATTGCACTCACTGTTGTAAAGCCAACTCGAAAGCTATGCCCAATGGTATAGAAGGTGTCACCAGTGGCAAGGAATCTATAAAAAAAAATCGTTTTTAGGTGATGAAGTAAAAAAAGGTGTAAGAATATCAGAGACACATTTGCAAAATATATAAAATCTACCAAACCAAAGACCGGCCAAGCAGTGGGAAACATAAAAAAATGGCAGTGGGCTGACTACATGGAATTTTGGAAAAAAAAATTTGGAAGACCGCGGCCATGGAGAAGATGAAAATGCTGATGTAGATGCAGAAGATGCACAGAACGCCTCGGCAACACAGACAGCACCACCTTTTTCATTGAACACTACAGCAGTGACTACTCCAGGGCACACCTTTCCGCAGACTGCAACTACACCAAAATATAAAACGAGCAGAAAACGCTATGAACCACCATCTTCGTCTGTACAACGGCTCATTAATTATTTTGAAGGTAAAAACCTCAAAAAGAGAACGAGGCCATTGATTCACTTTTCTTGGCACATGCACAGACTGTGAAAACACTTCCCTTAAAGCGTCAAGCCCGAATAAAACTAAAAATAGCCGAATTAATAGCGCACGAAGAATTTGAACATATTGAAGAAATGTCTTCAGCGTCTACCCAGAATTCTGCAAGTATGTATGATAGTAGTATGTCGTCCTTCCCAAGCGGCACTGGGTTTACTCCAATAATATACCCAACAGAGGAGGCAAATTCTGCCTCGAATTATTTAGCAACATTTAATCCTAGTGGCAACATGTAGTCCAATTATTATAATAAAATATTTATTTCACGATCCCTGAAGTTTTCGTATTCGATAAGCCTACTAATTTTAATACATACAATTTTTTTACCTGAGTGTAATAGCAAGTCGTTCTTCTGGCGAAATAGCTTCATGATAATTTGTGTCAGATTTTCGTATTTCATCTTGCACCAAGTTCAATATTTCATCGAAACACTCTGGAGTCATTCTAAAATATACGTAAAAGCGCTGTTCATCCAGCCAAAGTTGTGGCATCAAGGTATGGTATTCCCCAAATTTATTTCGTTCCAAGTTAATATCATGTACCCACTTCCTTCGTTTCCTAAACAAAATTGAAAATATTTGTTTTATTTACTTCGTTAAACTTAATACATACCCAACTATCAAATGGCGTTAAATAAACATAACTTACCGTGCATTTTGCTCCTCTTCTAAAGCAAGAAATAGAAGTGCCTCCTCTTCTTCTGAAGACGAGCTCATTGCAAAAGGCAAAAATAAAATGTACGCAACCTGTCGAAACCTTCACGTTCGCGGAGCGAATAAGACGCTTTGGTATGAATAAACAGGCGAAACAGATTGCGAATTTCGCTCTGAATTTCGTTGCGAATACTTCGCCGCGATTATTTCGCGCCGGTTTGTGGGATGCTTTAACATGTTTTAAATTTTCAAAAATTCCAATTTTTTTAAACCTATTATTCAAATTTTCCAAGTTTTTATCTTCTTCAGTTTGATCAATATTTCAAACGTTGTCAACCTTGAACATTACCTAAATTTAAAAAGTTCGATTTCCTTAAATGTTAGCCAATCGCTAATACGCAAACATCCATTGCCGCTCACTATAAGCTTATAAAGTTGCATGCTTTCTACGAATTGAATGGACTGGAGGACAAGAGAAACAAGAGATGCGTTAATGGTAAAAAATTTCCGTGCGTGCATCAGTGCCACCATTGTAAAATTATTGTAATTCGCTACGTTTGTCGGCATTGTATGTTAATGCGTCGAATTTACAAGTGTAAATACCGCAAAGGAGCTAATGAAGTTGGAGTACGTCTAAAATACTAGAGAGATTGACAGTTTTAGGTTGGGATTAATCAAGTCAGCCGTGTAGATGCTTGTGACAAAGGAAGGTCATACGACTACGATGAGCAATACTGAATGATACTTTATTGTTAAATAGAAATAGTGAGTGTGTAGGCCTGAAGAAAGTTGTCGAGCTGGTTATGGATTATAAAATTTGCATTTTTTGATTAAGGCTTACACCTACTGAGGCACTAAGAATAGCTGCAAGATTTGTTGAGGTAACTAGGACTTCATCAAGATCTCTTATGTCGCAAATATCAGCTCTAAGGCCTAGGTGTTCGACACACTTGCCTGGGAAGTGAAATGATGTTCAACGATTCTCCTAGCATTTGAGCAGTGGGACCTCGCTCCATTCTCATGAGGCTGTGTTCAATAGCCATGACGCTCTATATGCTAGTATCCTTGGCCGGCTTTTAGTCACACTTCTGGCAGTTTATTCTGAGCCCAATTATTGAGGGCATTATCATCCTGGCTCCTGGAGATTTTCGACATAGATTCGGGGGCAAATCGTTTTCTTTTGGTGCCTCGTACAACATTTTTCCGAGACAGAGTCACGTCTTATGTGCTATAGGAGGTATTACCAACTTTTAGATCATTTAGCTATTGGAACATCGCTATTGTAGTATCACAGCTAGAAAATAAAATCTACATTTTCCTTTTCTAGAACCCTGCTTTCTCGTGCTAAAGTTCCTTGTTATATTATTTTTATAGGATCGCTTATGCTAAGTGAGATGAGCAGGTTGACCAATGAGCAAGGTATACTAGATTGTTTTATTCATTTTGATTAGACAACCTTTCTAAACATAATATTAGGTAACCAAAGAACTTCGTGCGGGTTTTCGTAGAAAAATATAAATTTTAATCGAGAAACAATGAAACACTATTTATTCGTCGATGTAATTACCATCACATTCAATGACCTTTTGCCAACGTGGAACCAATGCCGGTATTGTCGAACTCCCTGGATTTGGAGTAAAAAAATTGGCGGACTGCATTTATTACGCCATCTCGAGTTGTGAACTGTCGATGCCTCATACAGTTGTCAAGAGTCAAAAAAAAGGTGATAATCACTGGGCGAAATATCGGGAGAATATTTCGGGTGCGGTAACGTTTCGGTATGAGGCTTGGCGTTATCCTGCAAGAATATCACTTTCTTCCGATTGATAAAAGAAGGCTCTTTCTGGATGAGTGCTGCTTGTACCCGTTGAATCAGTAGGCAACAACCAATGATGCGAACGCTTGGAATTTGAATACAAGATCCATTTTTCGTCGCAGGTTAATAACCGATTAAGAAATGGTTCATAAGCGTTTCGTGAAATGTTTGCTGAACAACTGGTAAGACTACTTAATTTGTTATCATTTGTCAGTTCATGTGGGACCCATTTGCTTAACTTCCACGTCTTTCCTAGCTGATTAAGATGCAAAGGAAGAGATTCAGGACTCACTCTGTACATTTCTGCAAGTTCTTGGCACGTTGTCCTGGAATTTGCGTCCACAACCTGTCGAAGATCCTCGTTGTTCATGATTTTTGGTCTCCCTGAGCGCGGATCATCGCTCGAACTGAGATCTCCCGAAGAAAATTTTTTTAACCACTTCTGTGCTGTTCGATCATTAACGGCATCATCTCCGAATGAGGTACATATTTTTCGCGTCGCCGCTGCAGCTTTTGTACCAAGTTTGTACTCGTACAGTAAAAGACTTCGAATTACTGTCTTATTCGTCGCCATTTTCAATAATTAAAACTAGGTATGTAACAATTTTCAGCAAGTTTTTATGTGTGTGAGAAAAGAAGGATCCATACAACAGGTAACAAACAATCGCTATCGATCAACAACATCCATGGCAATGTGCGATATACAGCAACTGCACGAACTTATTTGGTTACCTGTTATATCACCAATTTGCTTCGTATTCAACTCCTAATTGATACCTATTGGAAGGTAATTAAATCAAGGTACATCCACATAGTATATTTCAAAGTGATAAATAGTGTTATATAGCTTTTGGATAGACAAGGAGAAAACAACTAAAACTTGTAGAAACGGTACGTGACAAGTCAAATATCGAGTAAATCGCCCAGATCCACCGCTTAACTGAGACACACACCACTAGACGGGCAGCACCACTTAGTTCCCGCATCGGGCCAGTATAAAAGATGTAACATTAGGTAGAAGATTTAGTTTTTGTGAAGAAGTCTAATAATTTTTGCCAACTCCTCAAATAGAAGACAGAGTACATAAGGGATCCTTGAGTTAGAGCATGTCTTTTTTAAAACACGCATTTTGTAGCAGAATATTTTAAAACTCATTCGAGACACACTATGCCAGTAGTAGTCATGTTTTATACAAAAAGCTGCATTTAAAACTAACTTCTCCATATTTCTGACATAGCTACGACTAACGGCTAGTACCTGACGTAGGAAGAAGTATAAGCTTAGAAAGACCTAGATATTTTTTATATGAGAAATGCTTTAGTTCATCACCGCCTAATCAGTAACAAACAACATGAATTCTAGTTACAGTACGTACGTGTAACAGATTGAAAAAGTTGAGTATAATGTTACCTGGACATTGCACTCAATGTATGCGTTCATATTCGCTTTAATAACAAATTACAAGCATTTTCAATTTCCCATTTATCTTAAATACTACAAATACATTAAACAATAAATGTATCATTGCAAAGCTGATTAACAGAGCAGAGCAGAAACGTTTTCTCGTTAAAAAGTATAATTGTTATTGAAAATCCGTTATTCAATTTAACTAAATTAGTAACTCTAAATGAGTGCTGGTTTGGAATGTGATGTATTTTTGTACGTTGTGCTGTCAGGACTATTAAATCAATTAATATTCACAAGAGCAATCCGTCATATACTATATAATTTTAAATATTCGCGTAATTTGATATATAAAATATGATATAGATTTTATTATAGCTGGAATAATCCCCGATTTCGGTAGTATCCCTAAAGTCCTAATTAAATCAGTAAAATATACTATTTATTTAACATACTGAGCATTCCTGTTTTGTCTGGCTTATTATGAATAATGGATCATTATGATATTTATTAAAGCCCCACATGATAAAGTCTGGACAAAAATACGTACAATATCTGGATAGCATGGATTATAGTTCAAAGCTTCGCTAAACGTTTAAATAGATTTTGCCAACTACCTAGTGCACTGTTATAAAATATATAGGGATATCACACTGAACTGAATACTTTAGAGTAAGTAAAAATGCCCTCATATAAGGATGCAAAAAATTTTGGTAGATAACATTTTATAAACGTTAGAAGTCAAAAATTATTTTTTAACACACCTATATTCGAGAAACTATAAAGTAGTTATATAACAAACTTCTATTAAAGACGAAGTTCAGATACAAACTATTCCTACTTGGAAAATTAGCACTGAAAACAAGTTTAACAAAATTTAATGCAGGATTGCAAATTAAATACAAGGTACACATGTGCGTACACATTGGAGCCGTATTCACAAAAGAGAAGCATATCCTCGGAAAAATAAGGTAAAAGTATAAGGTCTTGCTTCGGAGAAAAAGGTAGAAGTATAAGCAAATCCTTGTTTCCATATTCATAATGATTACTTTATACTAGCGAGGATATCCTCCAAGAAGAAGTAAAAGGTTGACTGGTATTTGTATCTTGAGCGACATGTCCTGACTTGTTCCAGCTTGTAGTTGACGTGGGAGTTCGTTGACTCAGCATCACTGACAGTTGTACTCCAGAGCTTACACATACCGTTCCGTATTTTTACTGGATACAGTTTTTTATCAAATTAATAAGCATGTCAGCCTCAAGTGATGAGGAAACTATAGAAAATAATGGCAACGATCTGCAGTTCATCGCAGATGAAATTGCCATTATTTTCCAAAAGTCGCAAGTTCCAATAAATATAAATGAGAAAGGACGATGCCTTGAAGCAGATGTTGAAAAAATACGAATCAACATTCGGTAAACACTTGGATACTAAAGGCTTATTAAAAAAAATCAACGACATGAAATCAAGATTGAAGAAAAAAACAGATCTAAAAAAAAACTGGTAAAAAGCAATTAAATTGTTAGATTGGGAAAGAAAGTTTGGTGAATGCTATGGAAGGTGACTGTAATTCTACAATTGGGAAAATTAGAGGTGCCATTTAGGTTGGTAGTTCAAGAAGAAGGAAGTGAACTATATACCCAGCGCAGTGGGCAAACAGTTAGTATCACAGCGCCAGCAATTCAGAAGACGTTGCCACCAAAAAGAAAATTAGCAACAGAGAAATACGAAACTGAGGAGACCAAAGGGTTAAATACAAAAGAACAGCAACGCCTAGTGCTATTACAGCAGTACCAAACAAGTATTTTAGAATAACAGTATTATAAAACGAAATTAGAAATGATGCAGCGTCAGAAGCCACCTGTCACTTATGATGTTCACGAAAAGAAAACTTATTATAACTTATAAATACACTTTAATCAGTCAAAATATTTATTATAATACTCAAGTTTCTTCTTATTTGTTGACCGAAGTTGGCGGAGAGGACGCGCGTTATTATCATGATTTCCCTCATCTTCATTTGGGACTTGTTCAACTAATTCAAGGTGAGGATTGCCCAATCTCTTCTGCATATTTTCCAACTTTACGCGGCAAATATACTGTAGGATAGGAAACCGGCGTTTAAGTTGGCCGAAACAGCGTTCAATTATAACTGTTTCTTGTTGTAAAAGCTTATTATAATTTATTTCTCCACCTGGAATAGGATTTCTGAAGGGAGTCATAAGGCATGGCTCAATATCATAACCGTAATCGCCAAGTAGTACAACATTTGCTTTATTTATTAGCTGTAATCTAGTCTGTGAATTTCTCCATATTCTGGAATCATGCACTGATCCAGGCCAACTGACATCAACACTTGTGAACATCTCTCTGGCATTACAAGTGGCTTGCACATTTATAGTATGTCTCCCTTTTCGGTTGATATAATCATCTCCATGGCGATTTGGTTTCAGGGTTCCTACATGTGTACAATAAATTTCACCAATTGCTGTCGGAAATTTATACAAGCTTTGCCATATCCGCTTGGCCTCCATCAGTTCATGGTTGGTAGTTGGAAACTTGATCCATCCGTTCGACTGTGCAACTATGCTGTTCACAACTCTATCTACAGTCAGAGATACCGTTGCTTGACTAACACCAAGTTCCTGACCAATACCTTGTTGATATCCAGAGTCACCGAGATAGCGTAGACATACCTTCATTTTATGAATACATGAAAGTGCTCCTCCTCGAGTTTCCTCATTCTCAACTAAAAATCTGTCCGTGAGCCATTGTACATTTGCTTCGTCGAACCGATATAATTTTTTGAAGTCACCACCAAGTAACATCCACAATTTCCGGCATCATCGTTTGACCACCTTCCATTACGAAGTTGAGTCTGTTACTGACCACACTCAGAATTTTGGAAGGATATGCTTCCTATGCCAAGTATAAAGGAAAGCATTTGTTTCAAATTATTATAAATACCATCTGGAGGATTTCCTTCAAAATTTGCTAGTACAGGGATATCCTTTGTTTTATGAATACGGCTCAATAACTAAGAAAAATTTATATAATATAAATATGAGGGAATACAGATGAGCTATATACTGAGAGTTCGCTCAGATTTTAGCATCAAAGATAATTTGTTTAATGTTTGAAAATTGGAATATACTGTGAGTGGATATACACACGAGACATCAATTTATTTTGCAAAAGTGGAGGAACCGAGGTATGTAGGAGTTTGGGACCATACTATAATAAACGGAAGGAAATTTGTACAACTTTGCAACATTCAACCTTCTATATCTTCTTAAATTGAGAATTAACCGCAACATGGATCCTGAATTTTTAATGGACATTTCGCTGAAACTGAATATAAAAATGGATGGTATACTAAATCACAGTCTACGATTTTTGGTAGTACTTAAGATTCAGATAATGAACCAGCAGTTCCTTTATGGAAAACGTCTTTCGGTTAAATTTGTGAAATGCCTCATAGAGGTGGTGTCCAACATAATTTACGACTTTTAAAAATTGACCTGACCTTGACCATAACCTTCAAGATCACTGTCAAGGTCAAATCCATTATCACTATTGACCAGTCTGTTAGCAACAGTATCTTTTATTTCTTCTCTAATAATATATCGCGACGAAGGGACATTTTGTGGCCTTCCCGGAGCCCAGATCTCACGCTACTGGATTTTTCCTCTGGAGATACCTCAAGAGCCGCGTTTAAGCCAATAAACTGACGACGATTGCCTAGCTCAAGCACAACATTTCCCAGAAGATATCCGCTATCCCTCGAGCGATGTGCCAGCGAGTTTTCACGAATTCGAAGTCCAGATTCGAGGAGTGCGTACGTCTCAATGATGTTATTTTTTAAGAATAAAATTTTCATGTGTCTACTTTATTAAAAATATAAATTGTCTTCCCCATGCTTTGTAGTTTTTTATCTAAAATCCACTCAACTTAATGGCTCACCCTGCACTATACTTTTTTCTGAGACTGATCTTGATCTTCCATGTAGCTGCTGCAACGTATACTACCGAGTACAACTGTGAAAAACCTTGTAAAGGAAACAGAAGTATAATTTGCAAAATGTCTCTGATCGCGGAGCGTCAGCCGCATCGGCCATTACTATTCTTGCATCGGTCGAGTACACATTTCGTTCGTGACCTGCCGGTACAATGGTTTTGTTCTCTTGCGGAGTGGGGACAAGGGTCCAACACCTACACTGACCCCTCGACACTGGGGCCCGCAGCCGGCGAGTGCAACATCGTGAGCTGTGACTGTCAATACAGCGGCCCCCGGGCGTTAAAGACTCTGTCGTTCGCCGGGCTGGCGTTTCCGCATTTTGACCACGGCCCAAGAGATGCGGGAAGTTGTTAGACGGATAGTACCGCGATGAAGAGAAAGAATTCAGCCGAATCTAAAACCGCCGGTTAGCGTTCTTTCACTAAAAGATGCAGTCATCAACTCGTAAAGTTTTGTATATGGCACACGTTAACGTTGGCTACGAACATGTACAGGGTTTGTCCGGAAAGGAATAGGACTGAGTCGATTTAAAAAAATTTATTGAGCCAATCATTACAATTCTTTAAAAACTTTCAAAATAGGCTCCTTCTGCGTCGATGCAGCGCTGCCAGCGCGATTTCCTAGCATTGAAGGCGTCACTGGCGTCGTCTGTCGCTAGGGTGTCAAAATTTCCTAACAATCCGCCTTCTTCCGCTTCTTCTAACCTTAGGCGGTTCAAAAATCGGATTAGCAAATTTTCTTTAAGCTCCTTACCGCGGCGCCCCGGCATTTAGATTCCCGCTTGCACGGCTGCTTCGGTATAGAAGAAGCTTTGTCTTATATCGGAAGAGATAAAATACTTGTGTTTGTTTGAGATTATTAGGCTTGCGTTTGATGTAGTTCAATAGTAGCGCGTTAGATGACAGCTTGTCAGGATCAACTGCTGGAATATCGGTCTATCAAACAATCAGTTAAATATAAAGAGGATGACAGCACTCTACATGCAGGAATTCAGAGTGACAAGCCGATCTCTGCCGCTGAGCTGGAAAAAAGAAGACTAGCGACGACTTCTTCTCTGACAAGAGACCTGGAGGCTATCACTGCTTCAGGACGCAACAATCTTGTACAGTTCAATGCTTCCAAAACGCAGTACTGTACTTTGACGAACAAAAAGCGTCCTAGTGCTCATACAGTTTCGATGGATGGTCGAGTCCTACCAAAGAGCCATTCATTTCGGCTGGTCGGAGTCCAGATCACCGAGGACCTGATCTGGCACGAACACATCTCTTCAATAGCTGCAGCTGCTGGGAAAAAGCTAGGCTATTTGTTTAGGGCTAAGAAGTACTTTTCTCCGCATGACCTTCTCACTCTATACAAGGCCCAGATAAGGCCTAGCCTCGAGTATTGCTCACACATTTGGAGTGCTGCCGCCCCGACTACATTGTCCATGCTCGATGCTGTCCAGAGGAGGGCGGTCCGACTGATCGATGACTCTTCTCTAACAGACAGTCTCGGGACTCTTTCGCACCGGCGGGCCGTCGGCGATCTAGCTCTTTTCTATCGCTACACCAACGGGCTTTGCTCCTCAGAGCTCTCTTCCATGATGCCGCCGCGCGATGTGCCTGCCAGACAGACCCGCCTGACTTCGGCGTCCCATCCTAACCGTGTCAAACTTCGTACATCCAGAACTGGCCGATACGACCGCTCCTTTGTCCTGAGGGTGTCTAGATTGTGGAACAAACTACGGGAGGAAGCTTTTCCCAGTTCTACTAACCTTAAGCAGTTCAAAAATCGTATTAACAAAATTTCTTTGGGATCATCATAGCAGCCGCGGTGTTCCGGCATTTAGGCTTCTGCCTGCGCGGCTGTTTCGATATAAAAAAAAAGATGTTTTTGACAGTAATTATCATATAGTTGGCATTACAGAGAGCTAATATTGACAGTGATATTACTTCTTTAAATGGTTACAAATTTGTCAGGCAAGACCGCGTGACCCGCGGCGGTGGTGTTGGAATATATTTAAAATCTAACCTAAAATTTAATCTATTGAAGAGTGAGTGCAAGGACATAATTGAGCATATTTGGGTTAAAATTCAGCTTGAAAAAGAAATACTCATAGTTGGCATTATTTACAGACGACCTAGCTCTAACTGTAGGGAATTTGTAAAGTATTTAGAAGACATTTTGATTGACCTCAGTACTGAGTGTAACCAAATTGTATGTTTGGGCGATTTCAACATAAATGTATTGGTTATCGATCCTTCAAATGTCACCCAATTAAATGATATTTTAAATACCTTTTCCTTAAGTCAAGTGGTGACTGAGCTAACACGAATATCAAACACTAATTCTACTTTGATCGATTTAATATGCTGTAATCGCGAGATAGTGGAGGTTATGGGCGCACGGGATCCCAATGTTTCATATCACCATCTTGTTTATGTAGATTTGCGTATAACAGCTATCGAGCAGCTTAATCTATGTTATAAATTTAGGGTTTTACATTGAATAAATCTAGCTCTGTTTCAGACTGACATTGAGTCGGCGCCTTGGGATAACATACATATATCAAATAGATGACATCGGTCATAAGGTATTTTTAACAGACACTACTATATTGAATATTTTTGATTCCCATGCACCCCTAAAAGACTGCAATGGCCGGAAAAGATCATACAGTCCATGGATCACAGATAACATTAAGTTTATGAAAAGGCTTCGAAATCAAGCTCTTTCTCGTTTTAAACGAACTCACCAACCTAGTCATCGAGACTATTATAAACATTTAAGAAACCTGACCACTTCTGCTAGAAAAGAGCCGAAAAATGGCATATCCAAATTTAAAGTTTCAGAATTGCTCAGAAAAGGAAAAATGGACTGAACTAAAAAAACTAAATATACTTAGAAAACCATAGTAACTTGACGGCTATATTATTTTGTAGTGATTCCTTCAGAAACGTATTAGAAAATAATATTAAGCTCAAACTAGGGGACAATATAATATCATTTAGGGATTCCGTGAAGGATTTGGGCTTAGTGGTTGACTCTAAGCTCAAGTTTAGAGAGCACATTACTCTGTGCCTAAGAAAAGCATATTCAATGTTAAAAATAATTTACCCGCATAGACATTACCTATCACGAAATACTAAAGCCACGCTCTGCGAAGCTTTAGTGTTGTACCACTTCTACTTTGCTGATATGGTGTATGGCTCATTCCTTGATAGTGTGGAACTAAAACGGGTTCAAAAAGCTCAGAATTCTTGCATGAGACTGATATTTGGCATAAGGGGTAGGCAAAAAGTATCCCACAAACTACCTGAACTGGCTCAGAGGCGTACCTTGCACTCTACTCCTTTTTTTTACAAGATTATAAAATATAAAAGCCCCCCTTATCTTCACTTAAAAATTAGTTACCGGACTGATGTACATAATCTAAACATTAGAAGATTGAATTTGATTACAATACCATCACACAATAAAGAATCATTTAAGAAATCATTCTCATATCAAATTGCCTTTTTGGTAAATAAATTCAAAATTATAGATTTTTCTCTCTCGGTAGCTACATTTAAGAGGAACCTTAAAAGTGATGTACTGTCTCAGATATCATAGAAAACACATCTCCTGGTCCCCCTTTCGTCTTCTTCTGTTTCCCCTCGCTTTCTCTTCTCACTATAAATTTTCATTTCTCTACTTACTATACGCCGCTATATTCCTCAATATTAAAACATTATTAATTATCAATGTCTTAATAGAAATTTGTATTACTATAGAATTGTTTAAATTTGCTCTAGATCTAGCAGCTGCTTCTTTAAGGGGCAAGCTGATGTAGTCCTTTATTCTCTTAAGGCTTTTTTTGTTTGTAAACTTTGTATATACTGCTTAATGAGGGTTATAAATATTATTATTATTAATTTCAACACTAGTCAGTTGACAGCAAGCAATATAAGGAATTTGGAATACCCCAAAGCCCAAAGCAGCACCAACCACGCTCATATAGGATAAATACAGCGTTTGTTCGTTTATCTAAGAACATAAGTTGACACTTAAGGGTTCAGATATGAACCTTTCGCGAGGAAATGGAATCTTCTCGTGTCTAACTTTCAGCCTGGTTTCACTTGTCAAGC